CAAAAGCATAGATAACAATTGAGGTCTTGCTTCTTGCACCATTTGTTTTTTATTGGCCTCCACACACTGCATTTCAATTCGTGAGGTGCAGTTTGCAGTAGAATTCTACCTGCTGTTCCTGCCACAGTGTGGAGGGTTAGCATCATCATTTAACAGATATGCCATTTAACTAGCACCTCACTTCCATCCTCTTTGCCTACGTGTGAATCTATTTTTATCTCAAGTAACCCATGCAGCTGAATTATCTGCTTTTGTAGAATTTATTGCAAGAAAAGTCTTCCCAGAAAACCATACCAGCTTTGGTTTTGCTATATGCTCAGATTTAGCTGAAATCGAAAAATAATGAATCTTTTTAATAATATTCATTTCGATTACCCCTTCATATTTCAATTTTAGCTACTAAAATATAAGTAAGATGACTTATATTTTGTGGGAAGAAAAGAGATTCAGTTTTGGGTGGTCGTGCAGAGAGAACAAAAGAACAAAATTTAGGAGCAGCAGCAGTTAGTTCTATGTATCGAATCCTGAAAATTAGACTAATTTTCCATACATCTGCTTTTACTTTTTTTCACACTAAAAAGACAAAAGGAAATTGCTTGATAAATTACTATTAGACATGATAAGTTGCAAAGAAAAATGATTTAGGCACTCTACTATCTGTCTTCCTAAGGACAGACTAGTTAAACTGAAATGTGCAATTTTGGGTAGGGTGTGCAAAATTGATTATTGCATTTAGATTACTATTTATGGGGGATGGAAGGATTTTTTTCTTTCTTCCTCAATCTTATATTTATTATTAGTTTATATTCAGAAGAATCAGTATGGGTTTAACATAATTTCATCAAAAAGCAACTGTACATATTGCAGACATGGTCTTGTATTGTAAAAGCTCTAAGACACACTATAGTATTTAAAGTTTTAGTTGCTTTGGATTATTTCTCGCTATAAGATTTTTCATTTGAACGAATGTTGGTCATATAAAAATCAAGTAACCCATTGCGGTGAGTATATTAATCTATAGATTAGATAAGTAAGCAAATTGGGCTTTTTATTAAAATGCTACTTACTGAGTGGCTGGCTAGAAGAACATATTTTTACTGAAAAATTGAAAGGAAACAACTTGATTGCCCAACAACGAGATTTGAAATATGAAATATTTACTTAATAAACATTAGGAAGTCATTAAAATAACAACTAAAAAGACCATGTGGCAACATAGAAAGTGCTTATTATATAATGACAAGCACAAAAGCAGGAAACAAAATTGTATATACAGTACAATTTTAACATTATAAACATATATATAGTAAAGCATGGAAAGAAATTTTTACAGATGACACAAGTTGTTCTATTGTGTATTATCGGAAGTAAATAATTTCCAATTTTCTATACTAATACTATATATTGTTTTCAAAATAATAAAATTTTCTTCTACTTTGCTAATAGGTTTCCCCATGAAATATATGCCATTCTAAGCCATGCCAGATATTCTATACTATGCCTTATCCTACTGTACCATCTCACCAAATTATTTTGTGAGCAATTGGAAAGAACTTGTCAGTAATAGGACTTAAAGAAACAGTGACCAAGATTTAAATCTGAAGTTATTTTTTATGTTTCATAGAAAGGAATTAGGTAAATAAACTTAGGTCCACATGGGCAGATTAAGAGATATCTGGAGTACTGATTTATTTGTAAGTTCTAAGTTATAAGTTGTAAGTTCTAAGCAAAAGCTCCACATTTCCTCAACTTTGGGCTGCATATGACAAAGAGTCTCTCACTGACTAAATTTTAGTCTGGCTCCACTGAGTCCTCTTCCCAACTAGGCCTCACCTTCTGTTTTTCTTTGTGTTGCCCAATTTTCACAAATTGGTTTAGCTGGAATCTCCCATCCTCAAAATCTGATTGCCCTCAATATCTGATCAGCTTCCTTAGAAGCTTCCATTATCCTCCAAGTCATGCCATCACCTTGG